CCTCATATGCTCCTCCTTCCCCTCTGTGTCCTTGCTCCCATATTTAGGACAGTAATATGCAATTACCTTCCTCTTTGTGGGAACTTTCTCAGTAGCGTGAGAATAACTTCCCTTGATCCCCAGCTACCACCTGTTTCTTTGACCTATTTACAGTAAAACTTTTGACAGAGTACCACTTTTACTTCTCTCATTCTTTCTGCAGTCTACTTCATTTCATTTCCATCACCCACAAGACTCATGGCCAACATCTTGCCAGAGCCAATGTCCTTGTATTCTTCAACTACTTAGCAGTTTTATGTGATGGACAAATCCTTTTCTTGTGATACTTCCCATCTTGTGTTCCTGACACTACTCTCTCCTCATTTTTCTGCTACCTCCCTGGCTCGTTCTTAGTCCACTTTTCTGGCCCCTCCTCTCTTGCAGATCTCTAAACAGCAGCTATATTCTGGCCCTCTTCTATCAGCATTCTCGACCTGCTGTTACCTAACGCCATGCTCTAGGAACCATCTCTTGATGAATCATAAATTCATATCTCTAGTTTAGATGTCCTGCTGTCTAAATACATATCCAATGACCATCTTGACACCTCCATATGTTTATAAAACACAGTGATAGACTGTCCTTCAGTAGACTTGACATTTTAGAGCATGAAATCCTGTTCAGTATCTCCTCAAAATACACCTGGGGTCTCAAGAGACCATTAAAATATAACAAACCTTCTATTCTACTTACTGATATGCTTGGCCTTATATAGCAGTTTGGAAAAAAGTCATCTGAACATTGTCACCTTACAAATAATATAGTTAATAGGTTGTGAATCACCCCAGAGACTTAAAAAATAGTAAAATTATCAGAGTCTAATTTAATAATTGCCATTGGAAAACCCCATGTTAGGGGGTTTCCAGGTATTTCAGTTGATATCTCGATGTTTTAAAAACTGTTATTTTTAATTCACTCTTTATTTTAGCATAAATTGTGTCTCTCTATTCATTTCAATTATATTTCTCATACCATTCTGTAGATGGGATGAAAAGAGAAGTGTTAATTTCTTTTAACTCCATACTTCAACTACCACATGCATTTATAGTTGTTATTGCTAAATCTATTATCCTATATTTTTTGCCTCCTTAATTAACAAAGCTGTGTACTAGTTTATTTTCTTTGGAGTCACAAGATGCTTGCCACTTTTTTTTTTTTTGAGACAGAGTCTCACTCTTTTTGCCCGGGCTACAGTTAGTGCCATGGCGTCAGCCTAGCTCACAGCAACCTCACACTCCTGGGCTCAAGCAATCCTTCTGCCTCAGCCTCCCGAGTAGCTGGGACTACAGGCATGCGCCACCATGCTAATTTTTTCTGTATATTTTTCGTTGTCCAATTAATTTCTTTCTATTTTTAGTAGAGACGGGGTCTCGCTCTTGCTCAGGCTGGTTTCGAACTCCTGAGCTCAAACAATCCGCCCGCCTCGGCCTCGCAGAGTGCTAGGATTACAGGCGTGAGCTACCGCGCCCGGCCGCTTGCCATTTTTAGTACCATGAAGCTCCCCTTTCTCCTATTCTCAGCTACTTAAGCATTATGTAACTTAAATAGGCAATGCACACCTAGGTATCTGCTTCTATGAACAAATAAACAGTAAGTAAATAAACAAGCTGGAAAGGGCGACAAGATGATGCTTCAAACTATATCAAGCCATCTGGAGACGGATAAACCGCTCCCGTTCACATTGTTTTGTATATTTGAATGAGGCAGTTGACAATTCATGTCTTCAGGACTGTCTACCACATAGTGAGCACAACTGAAAGATGCGTGTGAATACTATCCTGCTTCTTAAATTCTCCAAGTGAAGCAGCAGGTACATCATCCCGGTTTCCATTAGATGTCTACCCTGTTGAACTGTGTGTTCCTAATAACACAAAAGGAAGGAAGCCACCAGGGTGAGCGGGGAAGGCAATGAAACTGCAGGGCTCACATTTAGATCTCTGCTAATGAGGCTCCAGAAAGTTCTTGCAAAATTGATGCAATCTGAGAAGAGTTTTCTGTCAATAGAAACTCCCTCTGTTTTTCCTTTGTCCTTTTATTGCCTGTGTTTATTTTGGGTTCCAGTAAAGATCAAATGACTGACTGTACAGTGACTAACAAGAAACCTGATAGGAGGAGAAAAGAGGAATCTGGCTTTTTTTCATTGCTCCTGATGCCTCATTTTCTTGAATTGGATATAGGTTCTGCTGTAAGAAACTGAGGGGAGGAGTCATTTCTTCAATTTTTTTTTTTTTGCCTCCTTTTAATGGTCGCTTGATCATGTCTTTATTTTTCTGTTTTCCTGTCTTTGTGGTATATTTTCCTTTCATGACTTCTGTCTCAAGACTTCTTTCCATCCAACCATTCTCTTTCCATCCTGCAGAGTGGCTATGGTGAGAAGAGTTCTGCATTCCACACTGACCTTGCCACCAAGAGGTTGTGTGGCCTTTGGCAAATCGTAACCTCCTTGAGGGCCTTATTTATCTCATTTGTAAAATGAAACAGTTTGGTTAGAAATTTTCAGAGTTGGTTCCTGCCAACTCTGACATTCTCTCTCTTTTGGGTCATTTTCATGTGAAAGGTTTCAACTCTCGATGAGCGTGTACGCAGACATCGTTCCAGGTCCTTATAGGAATCACATACCTGCCACCATCCATTGATTAAGTTATTCGTTGCTGCAGTTATCAGAGCTGATCAAAGAACTCTGAACCAGTGTATTACTGGAACCAACGAAGAAAATGCCATCATGATGTTCCAGATCCTTGAATTAGTAGAATAGGAGTAATGAGACCCCTAAGGAATTGCTGAAGTATAAAAAAAAGTTTGAAAAGTTTAGAAAATGTATTGGGCTTTGTGCATCACCTTAACTTCCTAGGTTTAGAATTTCTCATTTATACAATGAAGGTGTGGATTAGATCACAAGTTCTCAACCTGGTAGCACACAAGGAACCTTTATAAAAATACAGATTATTCGGGGTCCGCTAAGACCAATGAAGTCGGTTATCCTAGTGGGGGAAGGGGGACTGAGCATGATGTCCATGTTTTTAAAAGTGCTCCAGGGGATTTACATGAGTATCAAGGCTTGTGAATCACTGAATTAGATGCTCTCTAAGATTCATTTTAGCTCTGATTTTCTGTGAGTCATGGCAGAGGACTCAGCCAACTTTTTCTATAAAGGGTGAAATAGTAAATATTTTCAGCTTTGTGGGCTCTATGGTCCCTATAGCAACTCAGCTCAGCCTGTGTAGGACAAAGCAGCCATAGACAATATGTAAACAAGTGGGCGTGGCTGGATATGGCCTGTGGGCCATAGTTTTGCTGACCCTGGTCTATGAGATAGAATTTACTTTTAAATTGATGGACGACCAGCAAATCATTTTTATCTTGTATCCATCAATAATACATATATAAATCACAAATCACTATAAGACATATAAAGGTTGATACTTAATGACAGAGTACTTTAGGGAAGCCATAGTATTTCAAAATTAAGATGCTTTGGCCTGGTACAGTGGCTCACACCTGTAATCCAGTGTTTTAGGAAGCTGAGGTGGGAGCGTCACTTGAGGCTAAGAGTTCCAGACCAACTCAGGCAACATGGTGAGACTCTGTCTCTAAAAAGAAGTAAATAAATAGATTAGCTGGGTGTGATAGCATGTGCCTGTAGTCCCAGCTGCTCAGGAGGCAGAGGCAAGAGGATCGCTTGAGCCCAGGAATTTGAGGCTGCTGTGAGCTAGGCTGACGCCATGGCACTCTACTCAGGGCAACAGAGTGAGACTCTGTCTCAAATAAATAAATAAATAAATTACTCATTTTTACTGTTAATAATTTATAGCAACATGATATTTGACTGACCTTTTTATGCACTATAGGAGCATAAGTAATAGAAGCAGAAACATAGACCAGAGTTGCAAGAATATGTTTTGGCCAAAGAGTCTGTTTTCTTGATAACCATTAGCTCTTAAGTTTATGTGCATGGACTAAAGATTATGCTAATGGCTTTAATTTGGCCTTGGGTCTCTGGTCTCTGTTAGTATTGAAAAGCATTTAGTTTGAGCCTATTGGGAAGGATCTATGATTTAAAACATGTTAATATCCTCTTTTATATACTTCACAGTTTGAATATTTCTACTGTAAAATATGTGCCAGTTTTTCAGATGATTTTCTTCACATTTATTTCTTGCAATTCTCCTATAACAACCAGTTAGGAAGTCTCTTGACAGTGTTGCCAGTCAGATCTCAGATGAATGAAGATTATTTTCTATTCTCATGGCTTTTGGGGATACTATGGCATGTAGTTTGGGTGTTAATGCATAACTTTGATGCATTGGCTTCTAAACAACCAAAAGGATGGAAGGAAATAGGGCAAATATTTTTGTGAGGGAGAGGAGTCTGGCTTCCTGACTTGTGCTAGAAAAGGTCTTTAAGCCTTCTCTTTCCTATTTGTCAACAAAAAGTGAAAAGGAAAATCAGGAATCATTTTCTTCTTGGCTTAAATGCATCCTTTATAAAGTAAGGTTGAGATGATTCTGTGGAGCTATCTTTTTGTTAAGACTGTCATACTCCCAAAGACTTTGTTCTTTTGTTGCTTAGATTAGTCAGTTTAGATATTCTTATAAAAATAAGGAGATTCGGTTTTAAGGATTGACTCTTTCTTGAGGTACTCAGAGAACTTGGGGAGCATAATAAAATAATCAAACCAGAATTTAAAGCAGAAGATTTTCAAGCAAAAAAAATCCCACCTCATTTTGGCCAAACTGTCATTTTATAGAAGTCTTCATAAATTATGTCAAGTTTTTTTTCCGGCAAATGAAGAATAGGTTCATTGTGTCAGTACCTGGGTCTCATTTTGGCTTCATCTTTTACTTCTCAAAAGCTATAAGAAAAGTGTTCCTACCAAAGCTGGTGGTGGCCACAGTGAGACTTTGCTGCTAGTGGGGCAGACATGCTGCTCTAGACAGAGCCGCCCCCTCCTTCCTCCTTAGGCAACTCTTTTCTGTTCAGGAAGCAGCAGCCTGAGGTCAATGAGTTTGCCAATCCACAGTCACTGACAATTGCCAAATCTGAATTTCCATCCAGTACAATCTATTTGGCTGGACAATGGCATAGTAGTTTTCAGGTATCACGTGGAAATGTTTAGTAGGCACTCTAAAAGAGCGAAAGGATTAAGTGAGGTTAAAAGGCTCAATGAAGGCAAATAGATGAGACTAAAAATAGTTTGATATGTCATAACTTCTCTCTAATCCAAATAGCAACATATATTTTGAGGGGTAAAATTGCAGCTTGGATCACTTGCTAATGTCATTCTTACTGCATAGACACTGCTTTCTGAATGGGAGGTAGAATAATGAATCCATTCATTATTAACAAAGATTTATTTATTTCTTAAGTGATTGCATGTTGCTAAGCCCTAGATGAGGAGGAATGGTTTGTACAGTCTATTGTTTGAGTACAACAAGGAATGCTTTGAACAAAGTTACTGTAATAGGCAGAATGGGTTTAACAGAAAGGCCATGAGACATGAGCTTCAGGTCCTCGCACTTGCCCTATACTTAATTTTTTTTTTTTTTTTTTTTTGAGACAAAGTCTCACTCTTTTGTCCGGACTAGAGTGCCACGGTATCAGCCTAGCTCACAGCAACCTCAAACTCCTGGGCTCAAGCGATCCTACTGCCTCAGCTTCCTGAGTAGCTGGGACTAGAGCATGCACCACCATGCCCGGCTAATTTTTTCTATATATTTTTAGTTGTCTGGCTAATTTCTTTCTATTTTTAGTAGAGACAGGGTCTCGCTCTTGCTCATGCTGGTCTCGAACCCCTGACCTCCAAGCGATCCTCCCGCCTTGGCCTCCCAGAGTGCTAGGATTACAGGCATGAGCCACCATGCTTGGCCTCTATACTTAATTTTATATGCATAATTTTGATTCTTTTTCTTAAGAAGAATCCTCTAAATTATTTAAGCTTCAGGCTGGATCCATCCCTGGTAGCAGCTGTGAATCTTTGTCTATAAAAACAAGTGTGCAAGAAATATGACTTTACTTTTGCAATAATTGAATTTATTTTCTATTTGAACACATATTCCTACTTAATGAAAGAAACAGTGTCAACAAATTCAGGGATCTTGCTGGGTTCTGAGTGGAGTTTACAGGATGCCAAGATACTGGGGATGAGGGATTATCTGGAGCTATGTTGTCCCTTGTCCATGCTTGCTGCCTTTGAGGCACTGATGTTTCTATCCGACCTAACAGTGTGTGGGCCAGGTAGATGGAGTCTTTGTCCTTCTTGTCCTCATTGTGAGCTCTCCCTTGATGAGTTTTCTCTCAGCTTCTTCCATGTCCCTGAGGGGTCAAAATATTTAAATTACTTGGCTTCCCCTCAACACTGCTCTGGAAAAACAGGGCAAGCTGAAGCTCTATCAATCTATGCCTAGACATGTCAAGCAACCATGACCACTCTATTGCTCCCTTATCCTGCCAGGCACTGGAAGCTTCTCTGCAGCATGCCTCTTTCCTGAGATTCACCTTGGAACACAGGAGGCACAGCCCTCCTGTGTTCTAAAATCATCCGAGTCTACATGAGGATAGAACCAGGATTTGGTAATAAGACGGAACTCCTTCCTAGAGGAACTGTTGTCTAAGCCTTTTTTTTTTAACCCCCATTTATGTGCAACCTTTCTCGAGTCAGATCATGGAGTGAGGAGAGTGGCTGCTTCTCATCTATCACAAAGTCATCTGTGGCTACTGTTTTTACAAACCACTATGCTTTGAGTCCTTCAGGCTTTGGTTTTGAAGCATAAAAGCCAATATTTATATGGCTTGAAATTTTTAAACTATCAATATCTGAGTTGAGTTTCAAAACTCATTTTTGAAACTTGAAAGACCAGAATTGAGTGTCTCTGCTCTGATTCTGTTGTGGCTTCTCCTTCCAGAGGCAGTGGAGGTAGAATGTCCAAGCTGGAAAGCCTGTGAGGTATAAGGAAATGGTTAGTAATTCATATTATTATCTGGCCACATCATCTATTCAGTGATGGCATTTTAGTGGCTATAAAACTGGCCATGATGCAAATGTCTGCACTTGCCACCTTTTCTTCCTATCAGAAAATGTTCTCATCCATTGAGTAGAATGAATGTCTGCTCATATACTGTGGATGAGTGCCCATTGTTAAGATGAAATATCATGTTCTCGATCAGGGTTATTTAACCACACTGTGGATAACAATAGTGTGTCCTGGGGTCACTTGAAGCAGCTAGATTATATGAAAGAGTATGAGTTGGGAAGTTTCATTTTCTAAATTTGGTAGGTACATTCCATTTGTTAAATTTAACCTTGTAAGTTCTGGATTCACCTTCAGTAGTGAGCATCACTAATGGAGAATGTAATTTGCAGTGCTCAAACACAAGTGCTCAGACAAAAAAAAAAAAAAAAAAATTGTATACTGCATTCATTCCAGTGCTGACAAAGCAGTAGTTTTGAAAGGCCTTATTTTCAAATAGCACTACATACAATTTTGAGTAGTTTAGATAGCACTATTTAAATGTTTTATTGAGTCTTCGGAAGTATTAAAATGTGAAGGATTTTTGTTATGTAGTGTCTTTCCTCTCTTGTTTTGCTTGACAAAAGATGAGTTTAGACTTCTTCACAGAATTGACATATGAAAATGTCATCTGTATTTTATAAAGTTAAACTACATTTGTGTATTTTCTTCAATGATTTCAAGAGAGAGATGGTATTCTTAGGCAGGATAAATATAATAAGATAACTTTAAGTGCATTTGAGCTATATCTCTGGCAGTTTTATCTCAACGGTAGTTACAATTCTAATTTGTCTTCCAGACCTTATTTAGATTAGTAGCTCTCTATGAAAATTAAAGACAGTGAAAATGTACAGTATGCTTTAATTAAAAATTAATCAAGAATGACTGAAAAAGGATTTAACCACCCCTGAAAGTCACTCATAATTCAGAATTGAAAATATTACATTTGGGAACAATAGTGAACATATGCCTTTTGCTTCCTCTGGAGTTATTTTTGATGGGTATGGGGTTTGGACCCCTTTCACTTCCGTTAATAGTGGGTTTGACTTCCAAAGATTCTTTTCTTGAATCTTGAATAAGTATGAAGATAATTTGAAGATATTTTCAAGATGAAGGAAACTGAAGCACAAAATCACTAGAAAGAAGAAAGAACTTCGCAAACACAGCAGGCTTAATCTATGTGAAAACAGGCAATACAATTAGAATTGCTAAGATGGAACTCTTTTTTTTTTTTATTTCAGCATATTATGGGGGTACAGATGTTTAGGTTACGTATGTTGCCCTAGTCCCCCCCTCCCCCCCAAGTCCAAGTTTCAAATATGTCCATCCTTCGGGTGGTGCACATTGCACTCTTTGTGTATGCAAATACCCGTCCCCTCCACCCTCCTCCCCCCTTAAGATGGAACTCTTAATATTCAATTCAGGATCAATATCTAAACTCCTCTGCTTTTCCACCAATCATTCCATACTAAAGATAAAGAATTTTTCCCCTTTCACCTGTTAATTTCATTCCTTTATTCATTTATTAATTGTTGAAATATATATTGGATAACTATTACATTAAATATATGCCAGGCTATTTTAAAAATCATATTCCAAGTTCCAATAAATCATAAGTGTTCAGAGAAATATGTTATTGTTAAAGAATTTAATTAAACACCTTTAAAAGTATTTGATCCCTTTTGTGTCTGTGCACGTTAAAGATATAGTTTATTAAATGTTACATGAATAGATTTATAAAGCAGATACATATTTAATTTTAAATATAACCATTATATACAGTCAACATTTTGTTTAGCACTAGAAATTGATATTTGAGTAATTTGGATAAAAAATGTAATTATTTAACTACAAATATATGCCAATGACTTAAATTTGGTTGAAGATTTTGGTGAAGTTATTGAAAATTGGCTAAGCATTATGAGTTCACTTACCACATGGCTGACATATAGAATTATAGTTAGTTATTAAGGTAGTTTGAGAGAAAAGCAAGAATCTTTAGTAGTGGTTTTGAGGTGTGGTACATTTCATTATAATACATCAGTTGTACAGCATTGTACAGTGCAGCTCATAGTAGAAATAAATTTTTCCTTTGACATCATCTATTCCCTTGAGAATAGTTTGGCTATTTATGTGTGGCTTGCATAACCGAGAATTAACTGATCACAAAAATAAATAGGCCCATACAGAGCCCATTTATATAAGTCCTAGTTAATTCTCCTTGCTAAGCTTTTAATTATATCCAATTATTTCCTATTAGTTCATGGAAAACTTTACAAATAACCAAGTGATGAGTAGCAAGTGCCACATCTTAACAAGTTGTTTTTTTGAAAATATTCAACTAATTATGAAATTCTTAAACAAACAAGTTCTTAAACAAAAATAAAATATTGTTATTTTTATTTCAGATGCGATCTGTGAGCCGAATCTTTAAGTTTATTGACATACCAACAGAAGAAGGTAAATCTACCAAGTCAATCAAACCATCCAAGGATTGCCAGCTCTCAAAAGTTATGATTTTTGAGAATCCACACGTGAAGAAAGATGACATCTGGCCCTCAGGAGGCCAAATGACTGTCAAAGACCTCACAGCAAGATATATAGACAGTGGGAATGCCATATTAGAGAACATTTCCTTCTCAATAAGTCCTGGCCAGAGGGTGAGATTTAAACACTGCTTGCATTGTTAGACCTGTGTTCAGTAAGTGAATCCCACTAGCCTAAGGCAATGTGTCAGTAGAATCCATTTGTAACACTACTCTTGTAGACTAGCACTGATATTGAATGTACATATTTCAAATTATTATATGGAGTCATTATTTTTCATATGAAATTGAATTTTCAGAGTCCTGAATCTATAAATAAGTCCATTTTAAATGTGATTGTACTTGCAGAATATCTAATTAATTGCTAGGTTACTAACCAAAAAAACTGTTAAACAAACCAAAGTTATAACATGTTTTAGATTTTCCATCTTGAAAATATCTTCCAATAAGAGAAATATCTTATTGCTAACTCAATCTAATGTTGTCTGCAATTTTATCTAATTTACATTCTGTCAAACAAGTGGTACTTTTTTTCTTAGTGTTTTTCAGTATGTTCGTTTTGTTTTTTGGAGTTTTCAACAGAATATAGATTATTTAATTTTTTCCAAATTACTTACTATATTTATTAAGCATAAATAATTGTACAGTGTTTCAAAGTGTTTCCTTATGGATCCCAGCACTGGGCTAAACACATAGAAGGAATTTAATATATACCGATCCTTGGAATTGATTGTTGGAGAAGGAGATTATCATTCTCTATATACTTTATGCTCTATAAACATAGTTTTATATTGTCTTCAAATCTCTTACTCTAGACTACTCTATAAATCTTGACAGGAATATTATATATTTTTCATTGATTTTCTTTTTTAATTGAAATAGAATAAAAGGGAGAGATTTCTTGTACAACTGAATTTAAAAACTTCATCTCTTTGCATTTAATTGCAAATAGAGATTTAAAAAAACCATATTGAGATGCAGCCTGTAAAGATGTTAGACCACCATCACTAATACCAACGTAGGAACAAACTGTTTTGCCAGTGAGTTTCAGATTATTCAATAAACATTGTACAAAGTTCTGTTAAATGAAGAAAAGTATAGGTTGAGCAAAAAGTCCCTGTGTACCATGCTAAATGGCTTAAAATGGAACGTTGGAAAATTTGATTCACCTTTTTGTCTTATAGTTAAGATGAATGAATTCTCATACCACTAAAATTAACCCTCTATATTTCTGTCCATCAAGAATGGGATTTGTTTTACTTTTTCTTTTCCTGAGGGAAAATAATTTTAAATGGAATACGTGGAAAGACTTTACATTTTATTTTATTTAAAAAAAAATTTTTTTTTCTCGTCAGGTAATGTGCTGACCTCAAAACAAAATTTGAGGGAGGCACATCTCACCCATGCGTATGAGCTCCCAGTCATCACGCTTATGAACGACAGAAGGATCAGATTTTACATTTTAGATTGAATATTTCCCTAGTATTAAAATGGGGATGTTTGTGCATATTTGGAATATATTAGAGTCCTGATGAAACCTCTGACATTTTTGACATTTTTTTGCTTCATTATTGAACTCAGAGAGATGTTGGTTATGCATTGGAAATGTGTAAAATTAATGATTTGCCTTGGCTCCTCCCTTTCATTGGAAAAAGCACAGTTAATTACTCTGTTTTGCTTTACACATCAATGAATACCATAGGCAGCTAAGAATGTCTTTTTGGGTGGTCACCAAGATGGACGCCAAAAGTGTTACCATGGATATAACAATACCAACAAGTAGGCTGATAAAAACCAGAGTGGTAAGCCTTGGTAAATTGACTTTCTCTCGTGGGATATCCTCCTACCCTTTTGCTTTACTGATGCTAATTTGCCCACTAAATTAAATTCAACCAAGCCCTAAATAGAGTGACAGAATTTTCAGAATCCTCATCACTGTGGGAAGTTTTCCTTATGTGAGAGTAGTAATCAGAGATGTAGCAAAACGAGCAAGAAGTAATATACTCAGGCATTTAATTTTCTCCGAACCTATATATACAAAACAGACCACGTGTGTTCAGTAACTGCCCACTGCAAGGCACTCTCTAGGGGAGTTGAAAATTACATAAGGCTAGGGATCATGCCATCTGTTGAAAGACAACAAATTTAGTTTAAGCATCTCAATTGGCTTTGTGATTCTAGAATTAGGTAACACGTCATTCCATAAAATAAAATAAGTGTTCCAGTTAATAGAGCAGAGGAGGTTGGCTTTGTAGACAGAAAAAGGGCTAAAGAAAGCAGAAACACAGAACAAAAAGTAGATTGGTCATTTCAAAGTTACTTTCCTTGTAAGGTGGAACAAGGAGATTGAACAATAGAAAAATAACCGATTGGTTAGCATCAGGTTACTTCAGGTTAAGGATTAAAATACAGAGAACTTTATTTATCAAGCCCATTGAAGATTGAAACTGGCCTTTTTGGGAAATCAGGTTGTTATCTCTCTCTCCAGATTTCTCAGAAGGCCAGATAACAAGTTAGTTTCTGTTTGGTGAGTGTGGGTAACTCCATTTTGAATATTAGTCATGTCTGCTGGGGCCTGGTACAAGAGTTTAATCCAAAACAGTGGCTTCCTATATTTTTTGTTTAACACATTGGAAGAGGGACTCTAATGTTTATTGAGAGCTTATCATGTCCTAAGCACTGTTTAAAGACTTTTATTTGCTATCACATATGATCTCATTGTAACCCCAAAGGTAGATATTATTACCCTTCTTTGGCACAATGGAGGAAACTAAGGTTCAATTAGGTGAGTGAGGAAACACGAATCTTAAACCCAGATCTGTCTGACCTCAAAGTCCTTTTTCAGCAGATGCCATTGCTTCTCTTAAGAAGATGGAGGAGCAGAGGTCTGGAGAGAGAGAGAGAGAGAGAGAGAGAGTGAGGGAGAGAGAGAGAAAGTGTCTGTTCCAGGAGATGATAATCTAAAAGGGAAAATGTAAGATCCAGTGAGACTTGAGACAGACTTTTATGAAGATAACAAAGCTTAAGTTTAGAAAGGCCTTCATTTGCCTGAGCCACCTTCCAAAGCCATTCCTATACCTAATTTTGTATTTATAATTTTATAATCTTTATTCTTGAAAAGAGCCCTCCCTCCAAATTTATAAGCTTCCGTACCTCAAAAACCTTGATATGCCTTTGAATAAGAGATACAGGTAAAACGCTGTGGGAATTCAGAGGAGGAAGCAGTTAGCATATCAGTTGGCAGAGAGTTGGGCTATTCAGGGAAGGTTTTATACAGGAAGTGGCATTTAGAATGAGACTTTGAGACTTGAACTGTGTATTTGAACAAGTAAAGGTTGGTGAGGAAGGGTGCTTCAGGCAGAGGGCATATACATGTATACTTAAATATATACATATATATATGATTGCATACGTAGTTATAATTATTATTTTGAACAAACTGTTATCCGTGAGATGAGATCAATTAATAAGAAAAATAAAAGTACTAATTTTCCCTCATTTATTCATTCTCCATTATTCTTCCTTTCTTTATGTAGATTAAAGTTTTTGACCGATATTATTTTCCTTTTCTCAGAGAAACTTCTTTTAACATTGCTCAATAGGCAGGTCTACTGACAACAAATTCCATCAATTTTTGTTTGTCTGATAAAGACTTTATTTCTCCTTCACTTTTGAAGGATAATTTCACAGGGTTTAGAATTCTAGCTTGGTGGGTTCTTTCTCTCAAAAGTTTCAAGTATTTTCATTCCACTTTCTTCTTGCTTGCATGGTTTCTGAAAAGTTAGATGTAATTCTTTTCTTTTCTATAGGTAAGATATTTTTCTTCTGGCTTTTTTCAAGATATTTTTCTTTGATTTTCTTCAGTTTGAATATGATATGCCTATGCGTAGTTTTTGGCATTATTCTGCTTGGTTTTCTCTGAGCTTCTTGAGTATACGTTATTGTATCCGACACTAACTTGGGGAAATTCTTAGTTATTATTGTTTCAAATATTTCTTCTCCTTCTAGTATTCCCGTTACACCTATGTTATACTTTTTGTAATTATTTCACAGTTTTTGGATATTCTGTTCTTTTTTTCAGTCTTTTTTTTCTTTGGTTTTCAGTGTTGGAAGTTTCTATTGACATATTCTCAGGCTCAGAGATTCTTTACTGAGCCATGTTCAGTCTACTAATGAGGCCATCAAAGACATTCTTCATTTTTGTTACAATTTTTTTTTTTTTTTTTGAGACAGAGTCTTGCTCTGTTGTCTGGGCTAGAGTGCCATGGCATCAGGCTAGCTCACAGCAACCTCCAACTCCTGGGCTCAAGCAATCCTTCTGCCTCAGCCTCCTAAGTAGCTGGGACTACGGGCATGCGCCACCATGCCCGGCTAATTTTTTCTATATATTTTTGGTTGTCCAGCTAATATCTTTCTATTTTTAGTAGAGACAGGGTCTCACTCTTGCTCAGGCTGGTCTTGAACTCCTGACCTTGAGTGATCCTCCCTCCTTGGCTTCCCAGAGTGCTAGGATTACAGGCGTGAGCCACCATGCCCGGCCTACAATTGTTTTTGATCTCTAGAATTTCTTTTGATTCTATCTTAGAATTTTCATTTCTCTGCTTACATTATCCATCCGTTCTTGCATATTATATAATTTTTCCATTAAAGCTCTTTGCACATTAATCAGTTGTTTTAAATTCTTGATCTATTGATTGCAACATCCCTGTCATATCTAAGTCTGGTTCTGTGTCTTTGAAGTGTGTTTTTTGCCTTTTAGTATGCCTTGTAATTTTTTGTCAAAAGGTGGACATAATGTGCTGGATAAAAGGAACTGTAGTAAACAGGCCTATAGTAATGTAGTGGTAAGGTGTGTTAGATGGGTGGGAGAAGCACTCTGTGATCCTTTGATTAGACCTTTGTCTTTTTGTGAGCCTGTGCCTTCGAGCTGTGAACTTCACAAGCACTTCTCAGCTTTTTCATGCCCTTAGACAGGACAGAATGGCTAGAGGGGGATGGGGTCCAGTTATTTCCCTTCCCCTAGGTCTGTTAGGCTCTGGAAAAACCCCTAATAGGTTAGGCATGGTAAAATAGTTTCTCTGGAGGTCAGGCCTGCAAAGAGTAGCAGAATACTC